CCCCGCCCCCCCCGGGTTGGAAACCTATTGTTACGTCCTCGAAATTGAACTGCATTCCGACATGGCGCAAGGGTCTATAAACGTTTTACTTTCATGTGATGCCAAGTCAAGGAATCGATCTCATACATTATTTTGTTTGGAGAAGGTGAAAACAGTAAACAACAAGGGTGCTCATTATAGTGGTCATGGCCTCTCTCCACCAGGGGGGAGGGGTAAGAGCATATCTATGATTTTTTTCAATATTATTCCTATACCTTTTTCTTTAGGAAGTTCCAAGCGTACTTTAGGGAGCACAACAACTGGTATATTATAAAAATCATCGGCGTACTTTGCTAGCTCGTCGATATTCGGGCTAAAACTCTCGTCAAACTCTCCCAAGGGCTGAAGAAATATTTTGCCATCGGGGTATTTCTCTTGAATTGTCTTTCCTTCAGGAATAAACTTTGCTCTATAGTCAGAACTCTTCCTTGAAGAAAGCAAAGGACAAGTTGAGAGAAAACTTTTGAAGTTTTGTCCTTTCTCGCAATACTGAGCCAACCAGTCGTCTATCGAAGTCGGTGAAGGAACGGGTTGAAAAAATATATTTTCATCACTTAATTGGTATTCTCTAAGAGATTTTTCACTTTCTAGGAGTCCTGCAGCTTGTTTGCTTTGCTTTTCGGTTGGTCTTCGGAAGTCTGAAGCAAAAGGAATACTCGTTTCGGATTGTTTTCTTTTTCTTTGTTTTTTACTTCGAGACGCCATTTTGAAAACTGAATGAAGAAAGCTAAGACAGACTGGATATGTAACGCAATGTATTAATGTGTGTCACGCGTTCATGGAATACAGAAATTTTGCACACCTCACACTAAAGTTAGATACTTAAGAAGTTTATCGAGGAAATAAAACTGACAAAATAAGGAGAGGAAGAAAAGAAAGAAAGAAAGACAGGCGGGCAGACAAACAGACAGACAGACATAAGGGAAGGAAGGGTGGAAGGCAGGAAGCAAGGATGGATGGAAGCAAGGAAGCATGCAATGAAGCAAGGAAGGAAGGAAGCAAGGAAGTTGTAGTGGATTATTCTTTTAGTTTTATTAAAAACAGCGATTTTCTTTTCGTAGTCTTTAGATTTCATCCTGGGTTTTGTCAAGGCAACCTACTTCTGCCAGAATTTTGTAAGTAATAGAAATAAGAAAAAGAAATAACGAACTAAAGAATGAATAAATGAAAGCAGAAAGGATGGTAGGAACGAAGGAAGAAGAAAAGGAGGGCATAAATAAATGAAGGAAAGAAGGAAGTAGGCAGGAGGAATGAATTAAGAAAGGAAGAAAGGAAGAAAG